GACCTCTCTTTTTTTTTAAAATGTGTAGTTTTCAAATATACAGAAAATTTTCAGTGAGGGCCTGTGGTGGATGGCATGGTGTAAAATGGGATTTTAATGGAAGGAAAAAGATGGCGCTGGTGACGGGCGGGTAGCGATTTCGCTGCCTTGCTTGTTTTTCTCACTTTTCTTACTTTCCTCACTTCTTTCTCTGATTATTTTTGCCTTTTATTTTTTTTTCTCCTCTTCGAATTGCCTTTCTCCCCTACCTTGACCCAAAGTGCTGGGGGTGAGCTCGGAAAGAGCTCAGAAGCCTGGGCTGCGGGTTTTGAGCTGAAGCGGACAGAACTGGAGCTTGGAAAATGGGGGTCGGCTGGAGACTGCTTGGCGGAGCTCAGAGGTTCCCTGTTCGACTTGGGAGGCACCTTAGCAGAGGACCCAGCAGCTGAGTTCTGGAGACCGGTCTGGACGGAGTGCCAGGAGCGCAAGTTGCCAGGAGGGCGCAGGGTCTTTCATGATAATCCGAGGGTGCCTGTGAGGCTGCTGGAGCATCGGAATGCGGGCGCCATGCTGGATATCCTTCCCTCAGGCCCTTCTCTCCCCAGCTGTTCTCTATGGTTTAACAACAATGTTTCCCTAACCGGCTTCCAAGGGTGGAAAATGGCAGAGACAGCATTCTTTCCTGCTTCGCTTTTGGTACTATTAATGTCATCTATGCACTTTACTGTGAACTTTGAGCACATTGCTGAGAACTGTGAGTCCTGTCCTTCTGGCGTGAACTACACACCAGTGCTGCTATTAACATCATAAAGCTCAATAACAGCAAAAAGGACAAGACCACGTGGCGGAGAAAGCCAGTTCAAAGTTATTTGCGGGGGATAGTCATTGTGCGATTTTCTAATTAGATTTTGTTTTGTTTTGTTTTGTTATTGCACTGTATTTGGTCTATGTATGCTTATTCTAGGTATGTTATTTATTTAATTTTATTACACTGTATATGGTTATTTTTTACTATTTAATTTGTCTATATTAAGAAATTTGTCTATATTAAGTAATTTTTTTCTTTCTTTCTCTTTTTTTCTTCCCTCTTCTCCCATCCCTTTCCCTTCCCCTTCCCCTCCCTTCTTTGATATGGAATGGAACGCCTGCCCTCCCAGCAAGGGGCCCCTGAACATCTCTGTGATCACGGGTAGAGGGAGATATGGTGTTGGCACAGTCCCTACTTGTGTCAGAAGAACGACGAGTAGATGTTTGAAGGCTGTCCGTTGTTCTGAGACTGTGACCAACCCCCAGTATCGAGGTAGCCAGAC